GGGGAGGGGAGGGGAGGACTGGGGGGGTAGTAAATGCTTAGAAAAGGGGGGATAAGCAGTGATGGAAGGAGATCTGACTTCAGGTGAGAAACACGCAATGCAATATACACATGATGTGTCAGAGAACTGTACACTTGAAACTCACAATTTTACTAACCAATGTCACCCCAATTAACTTTAAAAACCAGATTTGTTAGAGCAGTAGTTCTCAAAGTGTCCTCAGACTCGTAGCACAGGCATTGCCTATGAGTTTGTTACAAACGCCAATTTGTGGTCCTCATCTGACCTACTGAATCAGAATCCCTGGAGATGTAGCCCAGGAAACTATGTATTTTTTGGAAATATAATCAACATAAATTGTGTAAGTTTAAGGTATGTAACATAGTGATTTGACACATTTATATATCGCAGTATGGTTACCACCTTAGCTTTAGGTAACAGTTCCATCACATCACATAATTATCATTTCCTTTTTGTGGTGGGAACAACTAAGATAAACTCTATTAGCAGCTTTCAAGTTTAAAATACAGTGCTGTTGTCTATAATCACTCAGCTGTGCATCAGGTCTCCAGGACTTATCTACTAGTTCCAGTTTGTACCCTTAAACAATATTGCCCCAGTTCCCCAACCCCAGCCTCTGGTAACCACCATTCTACTCTGCTTTTACCGGTTCAAGCTTTTTAGTTCAGGAAACTGTATTTTAACAACCTCTCCAGGTGATTCTGAAGCACATGATAGTGTGGGTGAATTTTGAAATCAGCACTTTGAAAAAGAAATCAGCATCCTGTTCTTTCGAAAGGCGAGCTCATCTAGTGAATAATATATAAACTGATCGAGTAGATTTATATGCAAATTACTTAGGAATTCATAAAGCTAAGTCATTTCCACCTCAGGGCTTTGCACATGGTGTTCCCTCTGCCTTGTATGCTTGTCGCCTATTCTTTGTCTAGTTTCTTCCTGTTATTCAGGTATCAGCTCAAAATCATCTCCTCTGAGAGCCTGCCTTGACTATACAGTTTAATTGTGCCCCTCTTGCCCAATACATTATCATGTAACCTTGTTTTATTTTCTTCCTAGTATTCATCACTACTTGAAATTTATTTTTATTTCTTGTCTATTTCTACCACTAGAATATACACTGCATGAGAACAAGGAACTTGTACTATTTCCTACTGACTGTCCAGCACCTTGTAAAATACCTAGCATACAGTATGTGCTCAATAAGTGTTTAAAGAATGAACGAGTTCATGCATCAAAGGTGCTCATATGGCCCACAAAGGAGCAATAGAAGTTTTTCCTGGGCTGGAAAAAAATGGTTAAAATGACACCACGGCACTAGGCCAATATCAATAAACATGCTTTGTAAATGAACCGTTGTAACAAAACTTAATCAGCAGCAAATTCCTTACAGTATATGAATTCATGTGCATTCACAACCACATTAGGATGACAAACTTGGTTTTGTTTCTTATGAGTCCTCTAAAAAGGGGGAAATCTAGTAAGAAATATCATTAAATATTAGGATAGCAAAGTTGGGATGGTATTTGTATGTTTTATAATAAATTATTCTACTTCTGCATTTTATTTACAGAATAATTCACACTCATTATATGCCAGATACTTTATACATTAAGTCCTCACTTAACACTGTCAATAGGTTTTGTAATTTTAAGCAAAAAAATATATAATAAGATCAATTTCACCATAGGTAAATTGATATAAAAAGTTCTTATAGTTAATCGTTATAACAAAATGATATTAAAAGAAATGATGTTATTTGAGGGCCTCTCATATTCGTTTCATTCTATCCTCACAAAACCCTACAGCAAAAGTATTATTATTATTCCCCCTATTTTATGGATGAAGAAATATTGAGTCACAGGAAGTAAAGTAAGTCATATTAAGTAGCACAGCTTGCAGTCTGAACTCAGACCCAGGTCAGTTTATGCCAAAATCATTTTTAACCACTACCCTTGTTTCCTTTTTACAATGAACTTTATATGGAAATTTTTATAACCGCCTCTCCCTGAAAAGTGAAAGAACTAGGCCCTGGCCTATGTGGCTCAGTTGGCTGGGCATCATCCCATGCACCAAAAGGTTGCTGGTTCTATTTCTCGTCAGGGAAATGAATCATAGACCTAAATGTAAAAACTAAAAATACAACTCTCTAGAAGAAAATGCGGAAGAGAATTTTTGTGACCACAATCATTAATTTTCAAAAACATAAATTAGATTTTATCAAAATTTAAAACATTTGCCCTTCCAAAGACACTATTAAGCCAATGAAAAGACTAACTACTGTCTGGGGAAAAGTTACTTTTGCTATAATTGTTTTGAGAAGGCCAATTTGCTCCCCCATGACATAGTAGGAACAATTTGAACATAACATGAATTTCACACCACCAGGTGAATACACAAAACTGCAACCTTCTTAACTAAGCCACAGGTATACCCAAAATGAACACATACATTCAAACACCAACCAGTTACCTCAATTCACTGTGTGCATTATCTTTTAAGGTTGTGTTTTGCTATCCTCTCACCTTGGTAGGTGAGAGTTTATATATGTGTGTGTGTGTGTGTGTGTATATATATAATATATAAAATCTACGTATGTGTGTATAATCAATGTCCCAAACATTTCTAAGTATCCTGATTCAAAAACACCAAACAGTGAATGTAAAAGGAAAGCCTTAAGTATTCAAGAGAAGCTTGAAATAATAAAGCACTTTGAAAGAAATGAGAGAACATGCGATATCTCCTCAGCAACATACATAAAGAAATATACACTGCAGGTCACTGGAGGCAACACTGAAAAAGTAAAAGAAATTCCTATGGCTGGAACAACCAAAGTCCATAAGACCTAAAGAAACAGAAACAATGGAACAATTATTAAGCATATGGGTTACAGACCAAACAGTGAAAAAAATCAAACTTTTCCCCCACTAAAAAGCACGACCTATATATAAAAAACCTTAAGTACAAATCACCAAATCCTTCAGAAATGTTTCCCTAATGCTAGTATCAGCTAGTTTGATGGTTTCAAACAGTGCTAGAGCTGTAGGGCTGGAAAAGCAATTCTCAGGTAACAGTTATTTTCTATCAGGATTGGAAGGTATTATTACTTTTTTTTGGCTTCTGTTATTGCTATTAAAAAAATCATCTAACTGTATAGCTGTTCTTTTAGGAAGAGTCTTTTTCTCTCCAGCTGCTTTAGGATCTTCTCCTTGTCTTTGAAGCTAACATTTTATTATGCTGGGTCTCAATACGGATATCATGTTATTTATCATACTTCCAATTTTTTGGCCTTCTTGAATTTGTGGATTAGTATGATTAAACAATTCTTGAAAATTCTCGGCCATTATTTCTTCAAATTCTGCCTCTATCCCAGTCTCTCTCCTCAACTACTGATACTCCAATTAAACATATGTTGGAGTTTCTCATTCTATCACCCTTATTGTTTAACTCACTCTCATATTTTTTTCTTTCTTTTTCTCTCTTGCATTTTAGATCATTTATTCTGATGTATATTTCATTTCACTAATTCTCTATTCACTTGTGTCTAACATGCTGCTAGACGCACTTGAGTTGTCAGCAGGTGGCAGAAAAGAAAAACTGGGACTAGAAAATTGTAAAACTAGAAAAATTAGCCATGTTAACATCTAGGTACCCATAAAGACAATTCATCCATCCACTTATGGTCCCTAACCTGTCAATATGAATTTCTCCAGAAGGAACCTTAACACAAGGATACAAGTACATGTAGTTTGGAGTGTGATCTCAAGAAACACTGTATGGAACTGGAGGAGTCAGACAGGAAAGGAAGGAAGCTAAGAAGGGGTTTATTATCAAGCAAATTATCTTTGTACACAACTTAAGCTTAATCCTTCTGAGGAACTCTGGGAGAATAGCTCCTTTTAAGCACAGATTCCTGAGCCTCATTCCCAGAGATTCCAATTCAATAGTTGAGGCTAGTTCTAAGAATTTGCATGTCTAACCAACTACCAGGAAATGGTGATGTTACTGTTACGGGTCAGTGGGTCACACTTTGAGCAGGCAGTGTTATAGAACATGCTTCTGAGAGAAGTATTCTGTCCAAGAGACAGGGGGACTGGGGTATTTATGCACCAACTCCAATCATCACTGTTTAAAGAGACTGCTCTCAAACAGCATTACTTACCTGGTATGTCCTGCCTGCCTGCACATAGGCAGGGCAGATCTCTGCAGCCCAGAGAAACCCCTAAGGAAATGTGTCACAGGTACTGGCAGTTGGAAACCAGGCTGGCACATGTTAAAATGAAAGGGGACAAGGAAATATTAGCAGAGCACTGACAGCATTTGCTACACTGCTGTATATGGTGTCATGGGGAAAATAAACATTAACCAAGAAATTACATGAATAAATTACAATTATGATAAGTGCTATAAAAGTAAATTACATGAGACTATCCCTAAAGATAGCCTCATATTACTTAAGATGGCAATTTCCTAGAGTACTTGATGCTGACCAAAATAATGCACTGTTTCAGAAATCTGTTAAACACCAACCCCAAATCAACATCCTATACATTAGCCACTACTGAATATACAGTATTTTCTTTGAAGTCACTGTGATTGGCAGTTTACATTACAAATATGTGCAGAATGATTACCAAGTTTTCCATTTGGTTTCATTTGGATAAACCTTAGCTAGGATTTACTTTGTTTTATAAACTTTAAATTGCAAATATGGAAAGAAAGCTATGTTTCCATTATTTTTTTTTCATTACATGGTTTCACCAAGAGAAAACCTAAACCGGTATTTTTCTTGAGAACTATGTTATAATCTATTCTATTACATGAGATGTCTTTTTTATTTTGTAATTCTATACTTGCTTTCCTATAAATATATTTATCTCTTAAAGCACCTAAAGAGTTAGCAACTGTAAAGTTAGGAAATACTCCATAAAATAACCCTTACTTCAGTGGTTCCAAGAGCAGCCTCAGATTTGGTAACTGCTGGAAAGACTCAGAACTCACTGAAAGCCATTACACTCTCAGCTACAGTTTATTACAGGGAAAGGATACAGACTAAAATTAGCCTAGGTTAAAAAAACATACAGAACAGAATCTAGGAAAATAATAAATCCAGAGCTTCCAGTTGTCCCCTCCTGTGAAGTCATGGACAGTGTTATTTTCCTGGTATCAATGTATGACAACACACAGAGAATATTGCCAACCAGGGAGCTCACCTAAGCCTTGGTGTCCAGAGTCTTTACCGGGGTTCCATCACAAGTGCATGGTTGACTGCCCAGATGGCTGATCTCAGTTTCTAGCCCCTTAGGAAGCTGAGATGATACCACTTGTCTCAAAGTTCCATCCTAAATCACACTGTTAATATCTGGCCTGACCCAACATCCCCAGGCAAACAAAGACATTTCTATCAGGCATGACATTTCTATCAGGCATGACATTCCAAGGGCTTAGAGATTACCTCCCAAAAGCCAAGGACAAAGGCCAACCTCTTTCTGGGCAAGTTTAAATTCTTTACTACAACCACACCTTACTTACTTACCCTGCTCTCATTGTGTATGGCCAATGCACTAAGAAGTCCTGATATTCTTCTTCACCTTACTGAGTTTACCTTCCAATTTATAGTATTAATGATAATATAACTGTGTGTGGACTTCTGAAATAAATGTGCTTTTAATACTGCTAGACTTAGGTTAGTATTTGGGAAAAAAATAAGTCTACTTATTATTTGAAGCCAACTCAAAATTCACAGCTCAATCTTATTCTAATCACTAGCATAGCGCCTTCTTTTTCCATAACTGGTATTTAATTGTTGTATTTCATGTTTTGCAAAATAATGCTCAGGATAATCAATCCATGATGGAATACCTTTTATTTAATATCAGGATGAAAATCTGGTCTTTTGAAAAACTATAAATGTGTATATCAGATTCCGTATTACATCAGTATTCTCCTTTCATGAGATGATTACTACACTTTAAGAAAATTACTTGAGTTCATTGTGTTCTCTCTCAGGCAGGAAAAATAACTTCCTTAAACTAGCTAAAAACCTAAAGATTGCTGTCGGTGTTTCTAAATCATTATGCTTTGGATAACTTCTGCAACACAAACTACTAAGAGTTATATATAGCCATATAAAAATGCAACATCTAATCATCCTTTTCATTCAAGGCACAGAAATGCCTAACAATTTTATTTTTGGTTCAGTTAGATATCAGGATGCCCCCTGCTGGCCATTTTGTAATATATCCATACAAATAACAATTTTAGAGTACAGTTTAAAATCTTGACACAAAAAATAAATATTATGTTGGAAGCAAAGCCTATATTTTATAAATGAGAAATCTCATGTAATACTTATGAAAAAACGTTAGCAATATTAAACTAGTGAACATAAATCATTTTTCCAATACTCAAGTTGTTCTATAAAAAGCACTGAAACATTTTTTAATCTTGAAGAGAGTAACATTTTCCTTAGAATACAAGCACTCACAAAAATGTTACCCAAACATAATAGAAAATATATTTTATCTAAAAATTATTGCCAGAATTTCTTAATGAGCTTCTAATATTTAAGATAGTAGCTAAAAAAATTCTTATGAGGTTATAAAATATATTTGATATTATTGGTATCATTTTCTGTCTGAAAATCTTGGAAGAGAACATTTTTGCTAAATATGAGACTGCAATAAGTTTTAAAATAAGTGCAAGAGGAAGGAAGCAATGACACATATTTTTAATCAATAAATAGCATATAATATAATGAATCACCATAAAAATGATAAACAGTAAATTTACATACAATATTTTCTAAAAACTTGAAGATATAGTAAAGCTACTAAAGAAGTATCTATGTAAACTTATATTAAAATGTTTTAAAACCAACCATAAATATACCCTCTGAATATTTTCACTGTGTTCAGCTACACTTTCTCATTCCCTATTATGTTAATGAAATTCTGAACATAAAGTGAAATGCGAAATCTCAGGCGGAGATTTTAGAATTTCAGTTGTTAAGGATTTCCTGCCCTCCAGTGGTATCTGCCTTAATATCAACACTACAAAGAAAAGTCCCATCACTTCTACATTTACATTCTGAAATTATATCACACTGTATGGCAGCATCTAACTTTTCTTTCATCACAGGTTCACTCTCAGTTTGTGCCCATGCATCACATCTTGCAAACTGTAGAATGCAGTTACTACTGGTTTGGTTTTGTAATACCTGTGCTGAATTACACTGAGACTGTGCAAACTGACCTGTGTTATTTTTCAGTGAGGCCTGATGAAACCTCTCATTTTGTTTATGAAGTTTGCCATTGTTTTTAACAATTCTATCATGTGGAAATTCTGCCATCCTTTCTAAATAAAAGTTATTAGTTGTTTCTTCAGTTTGGATGGATCTCCTACTTGAATCTTCAATTTGCTGCAATGTTTGATCTTCATCATCAGATGGCTAAAAAAATTTAGTAATTTTACTGTAAGTGATGCTTATATTTTAAAAAAAATCACTCAATCACTTCAAAGCACCAATTCATATTATAGAAAATTTCAAAACACAGAAGAGACTTTGGGAAACTGCAAATCAAGCTGGATATTTGGTTTTTAAAAATCAAGGTGGTTATGAATTTTTAAAATAACAATAATAATAATCCTTGTAGTAAAAATACAAAAGAGTTAAAGAAGAGAAGGGAATTTTGTCTCTGATCAGTACCCATTATCACAGACTACATCTTCCCCCTATCCTTTCACACAGAGGAAATAGTATACAACATACTCTTCAACCACTTAAAAAGAGTGGGGTAGAAGTAATAACTTTGAAACAGATAACATATAAAACTTCTATTATTCACTCACTGACTAGCAAGTAAAAAAGTATCTATACTATACCTTTTATGAGCCTAGTCCCATAAAAGATATGACTTAAGGAGAATTATCAACTAATAAGAAATCAAATAGCTAAAAGTTAAATAGCAATAAATATTGTAACTGTTATATAAACAGTTAAATTTTAAGAACTTTTAATAGGTCTAGATTTCAATTTGCTAGCTTGAATTTTTCAACCTCATGAAAAATTTATCTTTTAATTACTATTTTTTTTTATGAAAATTTTGTATAAAAGCACTGATTATTCAAGCTGGGGGAAAAAGCAAAGTTAACATAAAAAAAAACCTAAAATGAGGTATATGCCTCAGCTTATTGGCACTGAAATAGAAAAAGTAAGCCCAAAAAGTAGCCTTGAGACTGGCTCGTCACAAATTAGAGAAAACAAGCTCAATAAATTTATTTATTCAAGAAATGAATATTGATTTAGCATCTACAATGTGAGTGAAGAAGACATGATTGCTGCCCTCCTACAGCACGCATTTTCATGGGTATAAGAGACATTAACCAAATAATCACACACACATGTATAATTACAAACTGAGAAATACATTATGAAAAGCAAGCATGAAGCATTTTGAGAGCATAAATGAGGGGCCTAATTCAGACTGAGGAGCCAAGGAGGGACTTTTAGAAGAAGAGACATGTTTAAGACCTACAGGATGAACAAGAGTAAGGTAGAAGAAATAGGATATATACATGCCCTGAAGCAGAAAAGAGATTCATAAGCTAAGGAAAGTGAAATGTCAGTACGTATGGAATGCGGTGAGAGAAGGAGAGAAGTTGGAGATGTTACCAAGGCCAGAATAATATGGCCCACAAACGCTGTATTTTAGATTCCAAAGTAAAATAGAAACCCACTGAATAAATAAAAACATGACTTGAATTTAATTTTTCAAAAGATTATGATAGCCTGGCCAGTGTGGCTCAGTGGTTGAGAGCTGACCTATAAACCAGGAGATTGAGGTTTGATTCCCAGTCAGGGCACATGCCTGGGTTGCAGGTCAATCCCCAGTAGGGGGTGTGCAGGAGGCAGCCGATCAATGACACTCTTGTCAGTGATGTTCCTCTCTCTCTCTCTCCCTCTCCCTTCTTTTCTCTGAAATCAATAAAAACATATCTATAAAGAGGGGAAAAAAAGATCATGATGATTGCTAACTGTGGAGAAAAAGTGGGGCAGGAGTGGAAGTAGAGAATCTCTTAAGAAACAACCACAATAGTTCAAGAATATGATGATGGTACCTAAACTAGGATACCAATACCAGAAGTTAAGAGAAGTAGATAAATATGCATTTTATTTTAGAGGTAGAATTGATGTGGATAAAGTGATGGAATAAATGTAGTTCAGGAAAGCGGATGAGACAGAAAGAAATGACAAAGTTAACTACTAGGTTTCCACTGTGAGCAACTGAATGGAGAGAAAAGGTATCTACTAACATGAGAGCTACCAGAAAGATCGGGGGCATTCAGTTTAAAGTACAAAACTAAGTAGATTTTTGTAAAAATATCCAAAAAGACATATGCAATAGGAAACTGGACATCTAAATTAGGAACTGGGTTAAAGTCAAAATTTGAGGAACTATCGCTGAACAGATAATAAAATCACTGGAGTATATAACATCATCCAGAGTTTGGAGTGTAGGTTAAGAGAAGAAAAGGGTCCTGCAGCAAACCCTAAACATTGCAACATTTAAACAGGGGCAGGGGTGGAAGAGAAGTGGGCAACAGCATAAAGTACCACTCAGAGAGGTATGAAGGAAACTGTGATAGTGTGGTATCATAAAAGCAAAAAGAAGCAAATGTTTCAAAATGAGAAAATAATAATTTCTATCAATATTACTAGGAATTCTCATAAAATAAAAACTGAAAAGTGTCCAGTGACATAGAGGTTATTGATGTCCTTCCTTTAGCAAGAGCAGTTTGGATAGTGAGCTAGAGACAAAGGCAGATGAAAGAAAAATGAAGGTATTAATGGAGTAGAATTCCATTTAACCATCTGACTTAAGAGATATGCAGCATTCCCACTCAGAAAATAACATCAGATTACAGTCTACAATAACATTTTATACTATGCTTCATATAGGCTTTGAGACTTTCTTTTTATATTTACTCTTGGTTATTTTAGGTTTTCAATTACTGTGAGTTCTTTTAAAAACCTTTTAAAAGAAGCACAACTTCATTGTATACACAGACACACACACACACAATCTTGATAAGAATGGCTTTTGTAAATAATGAACACAGTCATCATTGTTATAAATGTGACTAAATGATGCTCATTTACATTTTAATTTTATATATTCCTTCATATTCTTCTTACATTTTTAATATCTTCACATTTTTGTTTACATTTATTTCCACAATTTATTGGCACAACTATTTTTTCTATAATGTAAAATGAGAAATACAAATAACTCAAAATTACTATAGCATAAATTAATAAAAAAAAGGGTGGTGGAAGCATAACTTACCATCTCTGAACTAGAACTGAAACAACTATCTGTTGGCCTTGGAGAGTAACTGGAAGACTGACTACTCTGTGAAGAATCAAGATCTGAAAATAAAGGTTTAATTTATGAAGAGTGGTATTTATTAATGCTCTAGAAAATATATACATATAAGCAGAAGATATCTGCTGATAATAGTAAGTTTAGCTTACGCACAATAGAGCATTTTCAAGTGTGCCAAAACTAAACATTTTGGGTACTCATGCTTCTGATAGGGTATTATGGGTTTATTCTACACTTAAAAGAGTTACATCTACAAATAAGAGCACATACATAAGGAAAGGAATGAAACAGAGAAAATCAGATTGATTTCTTTTCCAATACATGAGCCATTTTTATGAATAAATTTTCAACCTGCAGAATGGAGGGAAGTCAAGTTTATTAAGTACCAAGTCACCAGGTATTTGCTAATCTAGTAAATGAAGCTTCATTGTTTAAACTGTATGCAAAATAAAAAATGATTCCAAGCAGCCAGTATGATATTCTTTCATTTTCTGGTTAATGTGCTCTATCATGATTGTAAGTAAAATTTTAAAATGGGCCTGATAATGCATAAATACTAGATCAACAGTCGCTTGTTTGTGAAAATGGGTTTGCTATCAAGAAAAGCAAAAGGTGCCTGGCCAGTGGCTCGGTTGCCTGAGCATCATCCTGTGCACCGAAAGGTTAACAGTTCAATTCCCAGTCAGGGCACATATAAGGGTTGTGGGTTCGGTCCCTGGCTGGGGAACATACAGAAGGCAACCAATCAATGTTTCTCTCTCACATCATGTACCTATCTCTCCCTCCTTCTCTCTAAGCATGTCCTCGGGTGAGGTATAAAGAAATAAATAAATAATAAAATCAAAAGGTAACAAAATGTGGAGCAACAACTCATATCAAATCACATGCCCCCTACATGCAATAAACGAGTTACTATCTATTCATGCCTTGGGTCATAACTGATGTTCTCTATAACAAAAACTAACCATAAGTCAGCTGACAGAGAGAAATTAGCTCAACTCAGATACCCTTAGTTCATCATTCTAGAAGGAAATAGATACCCCCATGGAGCAGGTCCTCCCTGAGAGTGAAAAGCAAAATACAGAAAAGTGAATGGTAGAATTTCACTAACAATATAATCTAAGGGCATTCCCCCATAATAAGGTTCATTCAATCATAGGTACGGTAAACTCAGTCATTAGTGAGGAAGACAGTGTCTGTTGAATGAAGCCTTAACAATGTAAAAAAAAAAGAATATGCAAATCAAAATGTAAATGCAATTCAATACTTCATGTAAGGCACTATAATAGTAAAAATACATGTTCATAATGCTCAAAGTGTTCAGAATCTTACAGCGAAGACAGGCATACATTTAAAAAAAAAATAGTCCCAAAATTATGTGCAACAAAAGTCACAGAAGGTACAAAAGTAAAAGAAAGCCAAGTGTGATGAGCTCTAAGGAAAGAGAGATTTAGGGAAGAGTTATAGAGAAAACACGACTATAAAGAGCTGGTTTTGAAAGATGAACAAAAATTTTCCAGAGAGACAAGATGAAAAATAGCCTATAGAATAGAACAGGAAAAGGTGTAAAGATATACTTTAATGTTAAAGAAATTTGCATTTTAGATAATCTACCAAGGAATCTAATATAAGATGGATTAAAGAAGGCTGAGCCTGGATGAAAGCAGGTCAGTTAAAAGATTAACTCAATAATCTAGGTATGAAGTAATGAAGATCTGAAATAAAGCAATAAAGTGAAATTGGGATGGAAAAGAGGCAAAAGATTCAAATTTCAAGAAAGCTTTCAAATAGCCTCAATTTTTACATGTATGTGACTTTAAAAATTTTTGTGAATCTGGTATAACATTAGTACCAAAATCTGAGAAAGATTCAACACACACACATACATACACACTCTCCAAAAAAAGGCATTACAACTGAGACCACAGAAATTCTAAGGATACTAAGGGTCTACTATAAACAAGTATGTACCAACAAACTGAACAACCTAGAAGAAATGGAAAAATTCTTAAAAACATACAGCTTACCAAGACTGAATCAGGAAGAAATAGAAAATCTGACTAGAGCAATTACTAGTAAGGACATTGAATCAGTAATCAAAAATTTCCCAACAAAGAAAAACCCAGAACCAAAATGGCTTCATTAGTGAATTTTATCAAACTTTTATAAAACAATTAGTACCAATCTTTCTCAAACTCTTCTAAAAAATTGAAGAAGAGGGAATACTTACAAACTCATTGTACAAGGCCACCATTATTCTGATACCAAAACAAAAAAGAACAATACTAGAAGAGAAAACTATAGGCCAATATCCCTGATGGATATAGATGAGAAAGTTCTCAAGAAAACACTAGCAATCCAAATTCAGCAGAATAGTAGAAGAACTATACACCATGACCAGGTGGGATTTATCCCTGGGATGCAAGAATGGTTCAACAAATGTAAACCAATAAATGTGATTCATCACACTAATAGAATAAAGTAAAAGAATCATACTATCATCTCAATAGACACAGAAAAGGCATTTTACAATATTCAACATCCATTCATGACAAAAACTCTTAACAAATTAGGCACAGAAGAAACATAACATAATAAAGGCCATATGTGACACGTCCATACCTAATATCATACTTAATGGTGATAGGTTGAAAGCTTTTTCCTCTTGAGATCAGAAACAGGACAAGGGTTCCCACTCTAATCTCTTTTATTCAACACAGTACTAGATGTCCTAGGTAGAGCATCAGGTGAGAAAAATAAAAGGTATCAGAATTGGGAAGGAAGAAGTAAAACTGTCTCTATTTGCAGATGACATAATTTTATATACAGAAAAGTTTTAAGAGTCATCCAAAAAACTGTTAGATCTAATTCATGAATTTGGTAAAAGTTACATGAAAAAATCAGTAGCTTTTCTAGACACTAACAACAAATTTTCTGGGGGAAAAAATAAAGAAATAAATCCCATTTACAATAGCATCAAAAACAATAAAATACTTATGAATAAATTTAACTAAGGAGGTAAAAGATTTCTACTCTGAAAACTACAAGACATTAATGAAATAAACTGAAGAAGACACAATTAAATAGAAAGGTATCCCGCATTCATGGACTAAAATAATTAATATTGTTTAAATGTTTGTACTGCCAAAGCCACCAATTCTATGCAATCCCCATCAAGATTCCAATGGTATTTTTTTACAGAGGCCGAAAAAAAACATTCTTAAATTTATACTGAAACACAAAAGACCCTAAATAACCAAAGAAATCCTGAGAAAGAAGAACAAAGCAGGAGGCATTATTACACTTCTGAATTTCAAGTTATATATATATGTATACTAAAGCTATCATCATCAAAATAATATAATACTGGCATTAAAAACAGATAAACAGACCAATGAAACAGAATCAAGAGCCCAGAAATAAACCCACAAATATACATTCAAATAATATTTGACAAGGGAGCCAAGAATACTCACTGGAGGGGAAAAAACACACACAACTGTTTTCAATAAATTGTGCTGGGATAATTCACACTAGATATTCACATGTAAAAGAATGAAACTGGACCTGTATCTTACACTACTCACATAAATTAATTCAAAATGATGAAAGATTTAAAGATGAAGCCATAAAACTCCTAGAAGACGACATAGGAATAAAGCTCCTTGACATGGGTCTTGGTAATTATTTTTTTAATATGACACCTAAAGCACTAGCAACAAAATTAAAAACAAACAAGTGGGACTACATTAAATTAAAAAGCTCTGCACAGTAAAAGAAACCATTAACAAATTGAGAAAACCACCTATGGAATGGGGGGAAAATTTGGAAACCAAGTATCTGATATGGGGTTAACGTCCAAAATATATAAAGAACTCTTAAAACTCAATAGCAAAAAATAATAATAATAACCCAATTAAAATGACTGAAGAGCCTGAATAGACATTTCTCCAAAAAAATATATGAAAGGTCAACAGGTACATGAAAAAGATGCTCAACATAGTACCGTTAGGGAAATGCAAATTAAAACTGCAACAAGATAACACCCATGCCTTTTAGGACGGCCATCATCAAAAAGAGAAGAGATAAATGATGGAGTAAATGTGTAGAAAAGGGCACCCTTGTGCACTGTTGGCAGGATTGTAAATTGGTACAGACACTATATAGGATACAAAGACACAGATCTAGTATAGAAAGACATCTAATAAAGAGAGACAAAATTCCTAAAAGAAACATGGGCAACAGACATGAAAGGCATTTCACAGATGACATGTGGGTGCCCCATCAACCTAACTAATAATCGGGGAAATATAAATTAAAATTAGAATGAGATAGAATGCCAACAATGATAAAAAGCTAACCCAGTGTGAGAATATGTAGCAGCTAGGACTCCAATCTCTTGCTAGAGGAAGTTTAAACTTGCACAACCACTCTGGAAAACAATTTTGCATTACCTAGAAAAGATGAAGATGTGCATATCACATGAACTAGCCAGTTCTACTCCTAGAACTATATTCTAGAGGAATTTTTATACATGTGTGCCAGGAAAAATACCAAGAATTGCCAAAGTAGCATTGTTTATCATAGCAAAATATTCAAAACAACCTAAATAATCATTGCCAGAAGCTGCAAAAATAAATTATGGTATATTCATATAATAGAAGGCTGTATAGCAGTAAATGAACATTAAAACTACTAAAGTCACAAGTTTCAAAGTAGATGAACTTCAAAATATATTACTGGACGAACAACAACAAAAACAAGTTGCAGAAAAATAGAGTTTGCCTCAATTTGTAGAAAGTTCAAGACGAAGTAATGGAAAAGTCTATGTGTGATACCAGAAAAAAAAAATTCAGGACAATAGTTACCTCTAGGGGGCAGGATAGGTAATGCAATTGAGAAGTTCTTCAGAAGTATTTGTTATGCATTATTTCTTAAAACTACAAAGTGAGTACAAAGGTATCTGTTTTATTATTTGTTAAACTGTACATATACATTATATGTACGGATCATGTGTAACATATTTCACCATAAAATAAAAGTAATGTTAAAGAGTCAGTTGTATTACTAGTCCTAAGTTAACTATGAAATGTACTTGCTGGCAAAAATCTAGAAAATTAAAATTAAAATTAACTGATTTCCATTTAAATGTAAGGTTTTTTTAAAAAAAATAAAATTCACTTACTGTTACACTGACACATTTTCTTTGTAGATGTTGGCACACTTTTTATAGAATGCGTTCCTCCTTCTTCCACCAGATTCTAAAAGAAAAACCAAAATTTTAACTCCCGAGTATACACAATATCTACTCATATCTCCCTTTTCATCCCACCAACTCATTTATACAGTACTCTTCCTTCATATTATTTTAATTGAACAAAGATGATTGTTTTAAAAACTAGAAATATTAGCCTGTGATGAACAATCAATGAAATTAATATTGCTTTAGAAACACAAGCAAAAGAATAAACACTTGTGCCCGGCCAGGCGTGGCTCAGAGGTTGAGCATTTGACCTAGGATCCAGGAGACCATGGTTCAATTCCTGGTCAGGGCATATGCCTGGGTTGCAAGCTTGATCTCCAGAAGGGGGCGTGCAGGAGGCAGTCAATCAATGACTCTCATCATTGATGTTTCTCTCTCTCTCCCCCTCTCCCTTCCTCTCTCTGAAATTAATAAAGATATATTTTTTTAAAAAAACCAGAACACTTGCTAAGAAATTAATATCTGAGAGCCCAGCCAGTGTGGATCAGTTGGTTGAGTGTTGTCCCACGCACCAGGTGGCTGCTGGTTCAATTCGCAGTCAGGGCACATTACCAGGTTGTGGGCTCAATTCCCAATAGGGGCAGGAAGGAAGCAACCGATCGATGTTTCTCTCTCATCTATATTTCTGTCTTTCCTTCTCTCTTCCTCTCTCTCTCTCTCTCTCTAAAAAATGTAATAAATATATTTTTCTAAAAAGAAAAAAGTTAATTACTGACAAACAGGAAAGGCTTCAGGTAGTCATAGTAAACACAGTTGAAAAAAGACAGCTGCATGGCCAGTGTGGCCCAGCAGTTGAGGGTGGACCCAGGAACCAAAAGGTCACCAGTTCGATTCCTGGTCAGGGTACACACCCAGGCTGCAGGCTTGATCCTCAATGGGGG